GCTGGTAAGTGGAGACCTGAAGCACGTGTTGTTGCGTGGGCTAAAGGGACAAGGTGATTGATTGCCAAAGAAGACATGGCTGGCACAAACCATAGAGCTAGCTCTATTTCCCACAGTGGTCTTAGCAGATTGAGTACCATGCTGCATTACAAAAATGTACACATCGAATCATTGCTTGCTCTTTGGAAAAACAATGATAATATTTTCTAATCTTAAAAATGATTAATCTAAATTTAACTCTTATCAAACACACACACCATGGTTCGAAAATTACATCGGTTACGTGGAAGTAAAATTTATCAGATTTTCGCGAAAGGTATTTAAAAAACAGAAGAGCAAAATAAAGGCTCTGCGCATTTGCAATTAAATTTAACTTGCTCCAGAGCAAGGAACATAGATAAGTATAATACATGCAAATGATTACGACGCAACACACAGATGCGACGGTCGCGAAAGTCCATCACCGTTTCGGTGATCACATTAAATGCCTCTTTGGCGTTCCTGTTTCGCCAAAAGCGGCATTTAATCGGTGATGGACTTTCGCGATCGGTGATGATCTTTCGCGATCGGTGATCAAAGCTGCGATGACCAGTCGTTGAGTAAAAGTCCATCACCGATTGCGAAAGTCCATCACCGATCGTGAATATGCATCACCAGTAAAAGTCCATCACCGATTGCGAAAGTCCATCACCGATCGTGAATATGCATCACCAGTAAAAGTCCATCACCGATTGCGAAAGTCCATCACCGATCGTGAATATGCATCACCAGTAAAAGTCCATCACCGATCGCGAAAGTCCATCACCGATCGTGAATATGCATCACCGATTGCAAAAGTCCATCACCGATTCGATGATCACATTAAATGCCTCTTTGGCGTTCCATAAGGCTGAGCGTTGTGAGTTCGCTGCCCGCCACATGTGTTGCGTTATAATTTCGGGGGCCTGTCTGTGATCAACGAAGGATCGATGCATTGCTTCAAACATCGCGATCTTAAACGCAGTCACACAAAAAATCAACGAAAATGTGTCCGATCCGGCGGAAGACACCCTCCACATTTTTCCACAGACGTGGAGCGATTTTGGCGTCGCGAAAGACCGCGGTCTCAGATCGTTTCAGGAGCAAACATTTCTCGGAGGCCGAGTAAAATTTGCTCTTATATAGATGGTTGACCCAAGTTGAATAACAGTTGACTCGACAAGTTCCTCGCAGGCAGTCTCGCAAATTGTAAGACGTTCAAGTTTACGTTTGTTGAAGAGTCCAATATACTGAAACTTAATTATGACCTTCTTAATCAGCCTTCGCCTGTGTACTACGGCAAGCCTTTCAAGTACGTTTTCTCACAAATGCCACTGCCTCACAAAATGCCAATTTAACAGACCAACGGGAACATTTACAGACTGTTGCCATGGTACATAATTATCATGGGCGTCAATCGGTGGGGGACGGGGAAGCCCTCCACCCCCCCCCCCATTTTAAAGCGGTGGAGACTTTTTGGGTCCCCTCCCCCCTTTTCTTCCCCAAATAAAAATTGTAGCTACTACATGTATAATGATTCTATTACTCAGAATAGCTGATTCAATGACACCAAACTCGAAAATGATGTTTAAAAGATGATCTTTTGCTAAAAAAAAAATTGTTTTAGTGGTCAGAAATTGCCTCAGATCGCACCACAGAAATTGCTTTTCTATAACTGCATGTCTTCTCAACTAAATCCCCCAATTACATTCATCTCCCCACATTTTCATCCCCAACTCTACGCCCTACCCGATCTATGATCGGGTAAATCAACGAGGTATCGATGCATTGCTTCAAATATTGTGATCTTTGAACTATGTTGGGTTGGAATAACGAAGAGTGCATAAATAATAATATTGGCGGTTGTTGGCTGTTTGGCCTTGCTTATATTATGGTTGAACCATGCCAACTTGAATAAAATAGTTAAATCGACTTTTTCCTCGCAGGTCTCGCAAATTGTAAGAAGTTCAAGTTTACGTTTGTTGAAGAGTCCAATACTGTACCTTCATAATGACCTTCCTCCATGATTCAGACTTTGTAATTTTATGGTAACACACTCAACATTTCTATTGCAAATGCCACCTTCACGTTTAATTCCATTATGATTTATTGTCAAAACAGTACAATCAGCCTTCGCCTGTGTACTATACGGTAAGTCTTTCAACTCAGTTTTCCCACATTAACAAACGCGACTGCCTCACAAAATGCAACAGACCAACGGGACAATTTACAGACAGTTATACATGCCATGGTACATAATTATCATGGGCGCGGCGTCAATCGGTGGGGGACGGGGGACCCCCACCCCAACATTTAAAAGCGGGCACTGAATATCGTTTGGTTCCCTACCCCCACTTTTTCTTCCCCGAATAAAAATTGTAGCCTACTATAATATTCTTTTGCTCAGAACAGCTGATTCAATGACTCCAAACTCGAAAATGATGTTTAAAAGATGATCTTCTGTTTTACTATATCATACGTGGTCAGAAATTGCCTCAGATCGCGTCACCGTAAATTGCTTTTCTATAGCTACATGTCTTCTCAACTAAATCCCCCATTTCCATTTAACTCCCCACACTTTCAACCCCAACACAAATACGCCCTACCCGATCTATGATCGGGTAAATCAGCTTGTTTTTTATAAACCACAACCCATGACCTCTACTCACAGTTTAGGGGAAAATGAATGGCCACAACCAAAGGGGCCAAAACGCTGCAAAAACAACTCTTTCTTTACTGGAATTGCTCTTTCGTTAGGGTGGACATTCTGCACTGTAGTGTTATCTTTACATCGGAAACCTTTAGATCATTTCTAAGCAGTAGTGTGAGATTCTAATACGTCCTAGACCTGCATATGGAGAACTTTGCCACCCATTATGTGCAGAAAATCAAAGCCCTGCATGCTCTGCGGTCACACAGAGTGCATTGACCGGGCGACCTTCCCAGCCCCACTGCGCTGACCGGACTATACATAAACAGCAGGTCCCCAGAACAAAAGCGATGTCTGATTTCACAAGAAAAGTGCCCCTAGTTCTTCTCCACCAATCAAACGGTTGTAACATGAAAGGAAAGCCTATTGTGTTCTCTTTCAGAAACCGAAGACGTAAACTCGCACCCTTAGACGAAATGTGCCGTGACCTCCATAGGAAACACGACATTTTCACTGAGTTGCCCACTTTTCAAAGGAAAAGTGCATACAATTGTTCGACTTTAACCATGAAGAAATTATATTCATTTGAAAGAGGAAAACCTGTACTTTATAATGCAATGCGAGGGAGTAATTTTTAACAAACACACTTTCCGCATATTAGGCCCCCAAAAAAGTCTCCGGTTTCTGGTATGGAGCTTGCCCAAAAAGTGGTGCGGCGACGCGGCTTTTTTTTACCTGATTTTTTTGCTTCAAATGTCGGCTGATGACTGCAAATGGTGCCCAACTAAACTTAGTGCAAATATATGGGAGTCCAGAGAGGCCACATAAAGCTTATTCTCGATCATAACCCCCTCTAAAATCACGTTAAAATTGTGCAGCAGCAGGATTCCAGTCAAACCAATGAGTTTGGCTGTTTTGAGACATCATCTTTCATTGAAAAAAAACTTTTTCATTTTGCCGACGCGCATGGCTACGGCGACGCGCGCGCATACCAGAAACCGGAGACTTTTTTTTTGTTGGCCTGAACGACAGTTTGCTCAGAGCGCCTAGACATGAGCCAGTCTTCCCACGTAAACAGAGCTGCACTAGTGGCGAGTGGGCAATGCTCCGTAGTTCTCCATATGAATCGTGCAAACGAAACTCATATCGAAATGAAACAGTCATGTATATGTCATCAAGCAGAAGGGGAAGGGGCTTGGTAGTATTTATTGTAAACTCAAGTTGAAAGGCCACGAAACAAAATCGAGAGTAGCTTTGGCCCTCTCTGGTGGTAACTATAAGACTAAGTCCCGCTCGCATCAATACAGGCTCTCCACCGTCGGGGTCAAGGTTGATCAAAGATAAAGGAAAGAGTTCGTGGGAACGCGGGCCAAACGCCCCGATCGTAACCAAGAAAACAAGCAATATGCATGTATAACCAAAGTAGTTTTGACACGTATACCACTTGTGAAATGAATTTGCACTCACTTGGAAATAACGTCTTTCTGACTTCCTTTCAACCTTTCAGTACAGTTCAACCAATTGTATGCTACGTCACCACGTTTTCATTGAACTTCATTGCAGGCCATCCGAAAGGGCCAAAGTGTGAGGTTGGGAGTCTCGTATATATTGTCCAACTCAGTATTCTTTTGTCAAAAATATTGTGTATCTAGCTTCCTGTTGAGGAGGACCCCTATTGAGTAATCACAATGGTTTCAAGGTTCCTGTCATGAAAAAGCACCTTACGGATTCGTTTTAAACCATATCAACAGGAAATTTCCCGATTTTTTTTTATTACAGTCATGCAATGAAATGAGAAGGATGTAATAAGCTTAGTTATTCAAGACTTTTACAAGATATGATTTCACAGAAAGTAAGTCTCGTTCGAAAAAAAAAATCAGTAATGTAGCGGCACAAGAACGTTCTTCTTACTAAAGCAGTGAACATGCAGTAAAAAGAAAGGAAACATATATAGATATCTCTACACAAATGTATTCGGTATATTAGTATAGGCTATAGGAAACCAGAAGAATCCATATTTCTTTTACATTGCCATGCTCTGTTAAAGTCAGAAATCAATGACGGGCAGGATCTTTAATACACATATAACTATCTTCTACAGCCTAGTATCAGATGATGTTCTGCATCCACATTCGGGGGAAAACTCTAGCCGGAATATGTATGTAGGTCTACTCCTCTGTTTGAAAGAAAAATCCCCAAATCGCACCTCAATGCAGCGGTTTTGGTTTACTCGGACATTCACAAAAGTTCCTACGACGCTGATTTCAACAATTTCCTTTGTATCCATACATCTTTAAGAAGTTTCATATTTCTACTTCGCAGGATGTATTTTATACCTCGCCAGTAAAAATGTGGATGAAACCGGCTGCCATGTCAAATTCAATCAGGGCCGAAGCCAAGCCGATGGATGATCACCCGACGACGTCACTGCCAGAAGACGAAGGCTTCATCAATACGTCAGTGTCATTAATGTCGCCGAAAAAGGATGCTATTAAGGTCGGCGACATGCTGCATTACATAGTTACATGCAGGCGCAAAGATGGCAGCCTTCTTCATTCGGGAGGAGGGTTTTGGTACGCTACCCTGGACTCCAAGGCTAACCCGAAGGCAAGCACCGCTGGTAAAATTGAAGACCACAACAACGGCACGTACAGCATCTACATCTACGCTGGCTGGGCTGGTGAAGCTAGTCTCTCTGTCAGACGCGTCTTAAGCAGGCAGGCCGTAGATTTTATGCTGAACACCATATGGTCCGCTGACGATCGCGTGGTGTGGAGCGGCTTCTTCAATGTTCCAGGTTCGAAGAACAAACCATCAGGCCTCTGCAGACTGACTAGGCATGGGAACTGGACGGGCAAGTGCGTGTACGCAAACAAGAATGCACTCGGCAAGACTGTTTTCCTGTGCGAGAAGCCAAGAGGGGTGGACTGCGGTAATCTCTATGGGACGAAGAGCAACGGTCGAAAAATATCAGCTAGGGTCAGGGAGCTTGCCCGAGGAAAAGAACACTTATTCATTAAGTAAGTTTTTGTTAAAATTAAACCAACTCCACTCTGATGCCAAAAGCCACGGCAAACACCGAACACTATGTAACTGAACCGAAGATCGCATTTTTGTTTCTTCAAAAGAAAACAAACCTGACTAATTTGCTAAAATGGCTCAGGCTTTTGAGACGTCATGACGAATCATGTTTCAAAGCTCTGCTTCTGGTCACTTTGTTACAGCTGTCGTAGATAGATCTCCGTTTGGATAAACATTTTGAGGAGATGTTTTAGGGGTTATATTAAAAACGTTCAACTGTACACGCACTGCTATTGTTTGCAATTCTGCCATGCTTATGTTCCTTATTTTTCTACACAGGCCGATACAACTGGACGAGCCTCCCGTGAAAATATCCGGTAGGTAAACAGGACGAAAATACATGTACTTTTAAAGCGCAGTCATACAACTGTTTTGTCTACATTTTGTTATTTTTTTCATTTATCCAAGATGTCATTCCGCATGAAGTCAACGTAGCGTTTTTTTAAAGAAATGAAGCAACAGTTTGAATGTTGTTATTTCTAATTACCAAAATGAAGGAAACATTGAAATTGAGGATTCTGATTTCTCTGTGGGTTGATAGCCTACTTTTATTACACTGTGTCGATGACTGATTTTCAATTATGTGCAGGATGAGTAAGACAAAAAGGCAACCAAAATGTCAGGAACATTTTTAAATTACGTTCTGCATGTATAGCACTTTCGAAATCTAGGATACAAAAGCCCAATTCGTAAGCTTTCTTTTAGTACAGGAATCCTTAATCACTCATACTTTTCAAGTTACCGAATTTCATACACAAACACCATTTTAAAGTTCTGTCCACGGATCACAAAAAAAGGTAAGTGTTCTTTCAGCAAAACAAAAACAATTCACATACATCCCTATAAACAAAGTTATTGGAGGGCTTTCCTTTGACCGCCCCGTGTTCTTCTTTAACTGACAGGTGCAGGAGCAGTTGCTGCACCAAATTTACCTCAGTGCCTCCCGGACATGAAGCTACCGCCCAGTCAAGGGTACTGGCTGCAAGACAAGTGGCAGTCGCTGCTCTGCCAAATCACTGACTGGACAGAGAAAGCAAAGCTGACTACTTGCTTACAAAACAGGAACATTTTACTGTTTGGGGATTCGACGACTCGTCAGTGGTTCGTCCACATTCTGGACCTGATGGGTAGGAAGTTCGTTGCCCGAAAGGGTGAACCAGGGTTCTTCTGGCGAAGGTATTACGAAGACATCGACATGTCCATCACGATATCATTTCCCAAACAGCTGGTCGGCAGCGCGACCGTGATACTGGACACCGTGCATTACGAACACGACTTGATAGACGAGCTGAACAACACGAGATGCAACTACGTGATCATGGTCAGCCCCTGGGCTCATTTCAGCCAGTGGACGCGGGAGAGCTACACGGAGAGAACCGAGTTACTCCGAGAGGCTCTAATCCGATTCCGCAGGCGCTGCCCGGACGCCAAAATCGTCCTGAAAGGACCCCATCCCCGAGACCAAAAGAACTTCGATGCCTTGATCTACTCCAGCGACGTGATACTGTGGGGGATAGGAGAAATAAACCAGCGCTTGCTTAGCGGGATTGGGGTTTGGTTCCTACCAATATGGGACATGAACTTGGCTTTTCCGGTCCGAAAAACTATCCACATGCCGGTAACAGTCATCCACGAAGAAGTGAAGATGTTCATGAGTTACGTGTGCGGGGACAGTAAGATGCCCGCGTTGAAGGTTTAAGATGTTTAAGTCTACTCGACATTAATGTAATAATGGGATTACAAACAACACATGTGTACCATTTTAAGGGGTTTTAATTTCCTTCATTTTCAGTGAGTTGTTGAAAGTTTATGAAAGTCAAGCCCGCGGGAACGGGGGTGCTGTGGGTGCTGCAGCACCCCCAACTTTTTGGATTGGGGTGCTGGAATATGCTTCAGCACCCCTTACTCCCGGGGAAAAAAATGTTCCAACCAGCAGTGTTCTACGACGATGAAATTGCGCCGCTACGCTATACATTATGCTTGCTCTACAAATATCTCCTTCGTTTTGTTCGTTTCTAGTTTTGCCGCGGCTAAGCGCGGCGCTTCGAAAGTCTAGCACAAACACTGTAAAATATCAACAGGAGGTATTTTCTAAATCTTCAGGCAGTGCAAAATCGATACTTCTCTCAAGGTATCTAAAATCATGACATGTCTATGATATTTCCGCAATAATGGAAGCTTTTACCCGAAAGCAATAACCTCGGCCATGACGATGGTGGCAAAGTTTGCTTGCCAGGATTTGTTTCATTCGATCTGTCAATAGGGGCAAAGTTCATACCTTTCCCCTGAATGGTTTTCTTTTCATTTAAAATTTGCATTGACGTCACTAGCATTCTGTACTCAACATTAACATACAAATAGCAAGGTTCACCGTGACACATTCCCAACCTAAAAGGAGCGGGACGGGCTTTTATTGAAACTAGTCATGCTTAACGCCAATTCCAGTGTGGTTTCGTTTTAATAAAAAAGTTATTCATGTTCTACCCTCTGCAAGTTTTTCCTCATAAAAACTCAGTAGACCGATAAATCCTTGTCTAGCCCCAACTTGGTGAGTTAGAACTATGTGAATATTTTTATGAACAGAAATTCATCGCCTCAGATTGCACCACAGAACATCTGTATTCCAAATTAAGCCAGGACGTAAGGGCTTTGCGCCCCGCTTTCGCATTAATTTTGTCCGTCCTTTATTCCAGCACCCCCTGGCGAAAGTTTGTTCTAGCGGCAGTGATGAAAGTGTATCACAGGCTAAAATGAGAGACATGCTGGCATTATTTCTCTATTTTGAAAATTATGGAGAATACATGTATGTACAGACATCACCTGGGAAACTTAAGACGTCAAGTCAGAGGATTAATTTTTTGTTTGGTTACCATCATGTCCATCTGCAACGGAAATGTGTCAGTATTTCTCAAGATGACAAGTTTAAAACTCTAACACATCTGAGATCAGTTCTCAGTATCCAGCATTCATTTGTCACATATTAACAAATAACTCATGGTCAAAAGTGTAAATATTATGGCATCCAAATACTTAAGATGAAACATCGAGGTTTTTCTATTTTTTATTTTGACACAAGTTTTGCCTATTTTGCTTTGCTGTTTGTTTTCTTTCTTTCTGGTAATGAAACCAAGGATTCCTCAAAATTGCACTGCAGCTCACGAGCCTGAAAAAAAACCTGTAGTGAGGAGACAATGAAAAAAACATTTCAGTTTAGAAAGTGGGAGGAAAATCCCAGAAGAATATTCAGAGGAAACCCAGGCAATAAGGTAGAGACTGAATTCACTGAGTTTTGGAGTGCCTGGCTTACAAATTTACAGCTTGCAATGGGTTTCCTCTTGTAGGGAGTCCGGCGAATTTTAAAGAAAGAAATCTCAAGTTTTGTATCACTGAAAAGCAAATTACACAACAAAATCAATGGCGTTTGAATCAGGCTCATAGGTGTTTGCCCTTTGGAGATACAACAATTTAAATGGCCAAATTTTGAATTTCTATTCTGTAAGATATTATTTACTTTTAGCATGTTTTATAAATCTTATTTTCAAAACCTATCAAAATGCTTAATATCATAGGAATCCCCATTAAATAAACAACAACTTGATTTTTGAATCAGGTTTTTACCACTCATAACCAAAAAGTTACGACCCCCCCCCCCGACCTTCGCACTGTCCAGGCGCGCGCCGAGCAAACACCGCGATGCTACCAGACAATGCCAGACGGCACGCCGTTACGCACGGGCAAAACATAGTTCCAATCCCGCTCCACACAACGGGATAAGTGTCCACGCATTATCACTGTTAATACCGCGGTACCAGACAAAGTCTGGCAATGGCCAATCCCGCTCCAAACAACACGGCAACACGGAACATGCGTGCATGATATCACTCAGTTCATCAAAATGACCATGAATTCTCGGATCATCCGATTTGAATCCAATGGCTTCGAAGAATTTTAAGATCATGGCAAGAGGTAGGGAGTCCAGAGGTTTTGGCCGTATATCTGTAACCACGCAAAATTAGTCAATTTCAAACCGTGCTTATACATGTAATAAGTATCAACATGGCTCTAAAATACAAAAAAAGTATCCTGGTACCACGAGGAATACTGACTCCTATTATTAAAACATTCATTCAGAACTTTGCATTCATTTGGATGGAAAAACGAATTCTGAAATCGCGCTTTCCATATCGACCATTTGCGCCAAACATTACCGTGTGAGCCGGAACTTTCATTTAAATCACCGTGTAAAAATAAAATCGACTTGATAAATCGTAACTGTTTTTATCATATCTTTATGAAAAAAAATGGTACGGACTAGTACACTCGATCGTACCCAGAAAGTTCAGACTTTTACTGAAACAGTGGCCTATAAAAAGAAATGATAAAGCTTGCCGCACCTAGCCGCAAATCAATTTTAAAGGTCGGGGTACAGAGGCGAAACGAGAAAATGTTGTACAACACTGCAACCAGACTAGTCTACTACCACATGTTATTGTACGCAGATGGGATTGGTGCCAGACTTATGTAGTCTGGCACGCGGTAACAGCACGTGGAAAGCTGAAGCGCAGGCTAGGCGAAGATGCTACGTACGTGAGTACGTTCAATGCAACCGTTTCCAGTTCATTCGTGCGTACATTGTACATATATGCGTTCGTTTCACGGAACCCACTGCGGCAGAATCTCGAGGGTTTGATACGGTAAAAAATTAAAATTAATTAGAAAAAAAAAACACATCAAAATGACTGGCCGAGGCCGGCCTCGAGACCTCCAACACTGCCAATAATGTGCCTCGGTTTTAATGCGCGCATAAAACCTCTTTGAAAATAGTTAGTGTGTGATCTCAAAATGATTTCTGTCAACTTTTAGTATTTGTGATAAATCATTTGGCTCACAGCTCCCTCTGTTATCATGTTTTCGAATGGAATTTTTGTAGTTAGAACTTTTCATGTTAATTACATTGTTTTGGTAAATAAAAACGTCACCCGTTTACGCCCTTGTCATGTGAGTGAACGAAGCCACGAGCAAAATTGTATGAAGAACAAAAACGTTGTTGTTGTGAAACTACATGGGTGCCTAGGCTCAACCAATTTTGTAAAACCTTTTTTGAAAACATAGTTTTCGAAATATTCCTCAAGCAAATGCTAGTTATGGGAATTACTTCTGTTATCACTGATCCTGACGATAATTCAGTTTACTTTAATCCTATAACAAAAACAGAAATTCATAAAATAGTTTTCAAATATAAAAACAACAAGTCTCCTGGTTTGAATGGTGTCACACCAGGGTTAATCAAATCTGTCCTAACCAATATAAGCGATCCCCTATGTCACTTTTTTAATTTATCTCTATCTAAAGGTTTTTTCCCAGATCCAAAGTCACTCCTATATTTAAAAAGAAGACCCCGCTAAGCTTGGTAATTATAGACCAATTTCGGTACTATCATGTTTTTCAAAGATTCTTGACAAACTTGTGTACAATAGGACAGTAACATTTCTAGACAAGTATAACCTTATTTCTGATAATCAATATGGTTTTCGATCTAATTTCTCCACTTCAATGGCACTTATTGACCTAGTAGATAAAGTAGTCAAAACCTTTGAGGAGAATGCCTTTTCAGTTGGTATATTCTTAAATTTATCAAAAGCTTTTGATACTATAAACCATGATATTTTTCTTCATAAATTAGATTACTATGGACACCGCGGGGTTGCCCATGACTGGGTTGTGAGTTATTTGAATAATCGTCAACAGTGTACAAGTTTTAACAATTGCCTGTCTGATTAAAAAGGCATCTCGTGCGGAGTACCCCAGGGCTCTCTTTGATTTTTTAATCTATATTAATGATATTTCAAAGACATCGAACTTGTTTTTCTTTATATTATATGCTGATGACACTAGTTTATTCTATTGTAACAAAGATCTTATTTCCCTTTATAATATTGTCAACAATGAACTGATCAGTATCTGTGATTGGTTAAAAGCTAACCGCTTATTTCTTAACTTATCTAAATGTAATTATATGATCTACCCTAACAGGAAAACATCCAGAATAAGTCATGAGACTTAAATATTTTATTGGATAGCACAACTATAGAGGGTATAAGTTTAGATTTGTAGGTGTTATCATCGATGAGAAATTGACTTGAATTGGAGATATCACATCGATGAGACTGTAAGTAAAGTTTCTTAGAGTATTGGAGTTACCAGCAGATTAAAACATTATACCCTTTGAGGTATTAAATACTCTAAACAGTTCATTAATGCGTCCTTATTTTCTTACTGTAACATTGTTTGGGGGAATGCATTCCGTACGAGTTTAGATAAACTAATACTTGGTGTAGGTTAGGCTGCACCCTCGCATTGCATCGCATCTCAAACTAATAAAGTTGCAGAAAAAAGTTGTTCGAATTATTACCAATTATATAGGGCTCACGGTCAACGTCTTTTACGTGAGCTAAAATATTTCATCATAACAAACCTAAATAATAAATACCAACAATCACTATTAATGTACAAATTCACAAAAAAATACTGCCCATTTCTTATTCAATCATGTTTGTACTTACCTGTTATTTACATAATTATAACACTCGTGTGAAATTACATTTCCAAATACCGCAACATAGAACATCCCTCAAAACAACATTAAATACTCCGGACCTAAATTATGGAATAATCTACCATTCTCTCTTCAAGGTCATATAATTTTTTTAAACGCAAACTTAAATTGTACCTTATGTAATGTAATATTTTTATAAATTTAATGTGACTTTGCCCTTGCATGGCGATCCTACTCGTAGCCCATTATTATTATTTTTCATAACTGTGTTTACT